CCTACATCTTGCTTTGCTTGCTCATAAAGCAATGAAAAGCTTCCTAAGTTGCACTAAATCCATGAAGTTACTGATGTCTTTTTTTTCGGGAAGAAATCTAATTGGAATCATTCAACTGGGCATTTTTTGATGGAAAAAAGTAATATATAGTAAAAAAAATCAGAGCATCTACCTATTTCAACCTATTTCTTATATCACCAGTGTATACTTTAGTCAACATAACACATTACCAGGCTGCATTAAAGCCATTGCTGTCAAGTAGATTCTTATGCACAGTGATCAAAGAAGAACAGGCCCATAGGATTTCCAAGGGTGTGATTTTTATGGAAGCAGACTGCCACATCTGTCTCCTATGGAGCTGCTGGTGGATTTGAACTGCTGACTTTCAGTTAGCAGTCGAGTAATTGACCACTGCACCACCGGCGGTGGTGTGCTGTGGAGTCAGTTCTGACTCATAGTGAGCCCGCATAGGGTTTCTGAGGCTATAGATCTTTACAGGAGAAGAAAGCCTCATCTTTCTCCCACAAAATGACTGGCAGTTTCGAACTGCTGAATTTGCATAGTAAATAAGGTTGATCACAATAAATGAAAACAAACAAAAAGACAAAAGCAATCACAACCAGCAAAAACAGTATTGAGAGACTTTCAATACTGATACCAATCTTCTTGATGGTTCCTTCTTTTTAGTGAATTTCACTGCTGGAATGTTTATTGCAACTATGGTCGCTTTGGCTGTTGGATGAACAGCTTTAACAGGCCAAATGCAAAGAGGTGAGGTTGTTGTGCAGGCAGTGACAGAGGCAACCACACACTCATCCTGAAATTGCACTTCTTTTCTTGACTTCAAGACCTTTTCTGAATGCTCGTAGTTTGAGTTCATCTATAGTGACATGCAGGAGCCCTGGTGGAGTAGAGGGTTATACACAGGGTTGCTAACAGCAAGGTCAGCAGTTGGAATCCATCAGCCACTCTGTGGGAGGAAGAGGAGGCTGTCTGCTGCTGTTAAAGTTTACAGCCTCAGAAACCTTAGGATCACTATGAGTTCGAACGGACCAACGGTGGGATAAACAGTCTGAATTAGGTGTTAAATCAAGCACCAAGCCAGACTTGAGCATTGACTTATTATCATGAAAACTCCAAAGGAAACAGATCAAATTACTGAGTTACTAAATAAATCTTCATTACTGGAGTCCTGGTGTGGCACTGTGGGTTAATGCACCAGCTATTTGAACTTCAAGGTCAGCAGTTCAAGCTTATCAGCTGCTCCTTAGAAACCCTATAAGGGGTTGATATGGCTTGGCATCTACTCAACAGCACTTAACAACAACATAGTTGTGAGTATCCCCATTTGTCACCCAGGTGACAAGGCTTTGATTCCCCAATGGGGAGGCCAGTGGCATTTGGAGTCCTGGTATGGCACTGCAGGATAAGCACTGGACTGCAAGGTCGATAGTTCAAACTTACAAGCTGCTCCTCATGAACACTATACAGGATCTCTATGAGTCAAAACCAACTCAACAGCATTTAACACCACCAAATCCACATAGTATTTAGCTCTCAAATTTAAATGTATGCCTGTTGTTAGTGGCTGTCATGTAGGTCCTAACTCATAGTGAATCCATATACACAATGCAGCGACATACTGTCTGGTCCTATCCATCCTCATTACTGGTTGCAGGTTGAACTGGTGTGATCCATAGGATTTCACTGGCTGATTTTAGGAAGTAGATCCCAGTCTGCTGCAGTCCATAAAGCTCACCAAAATCTGTTCTGCATCATAGCAACACATAGCCTTTACTTAAAGACGGATGGTGGCTGTGGATAAGTGACTTGGCTGGGAATCCATGTGAAAGGTGAGAATTCTATCATGAAACCACCACTGCCTTCCTAAACCAAACCCATTGCCACTGAGTCAATTCAAGAAAGAATTTCTGAGTGGATTCTTGCACAAACATTTCCCAGGTTTGTGAAACCTTTTCATGTAATTGTGAGGAGAGCTGAAAATGTCCTTTTCATTTATTTACCAACACTTCCCCATGAGTGCTATGAGAGAATACAGTAGTGCAGAGAACAGGGACCTTGCTCTCAAAGAGTTTATTGTCTCCCAACAGGTCAGAGAATCACTAAAATTCCTCTGCATCTCAGTTATCTAATACATACAAGTTGGCAACTAGATTGGGTACTTCCTAGGGTCATTATGTGGCTTTAGAACTGCTGTAACACACACTTGCTCTGCAAAGCACAAAGTCAAAGTGAAAGCTCATTGGCAAAATCATTTAATGGCCATTCTTGACAGCAGTATGCTAAATGTCACTGAAAACAAGTTAAATCACCAAAAATTCTGTCCTTCAAAAAATGGAAAGTCTCCTTACTGCTACCTGAAAATACCACTTGGATTTTCATCTCCATACCTAACCCTCTTGTTCTACAGGATTGATACCTTCACCAACCCCCTCATAACTTGCCACCTTCCTATTTGAAACTTCTAAATGAAAGGTATCATTTCCCTTTCCTATAGGCTTTGTGTGTGTGGTGTGTGTTTAATCATTTTCTCTCATCAATAAATTCAATTTGTCACCATTCACAGCAAGCCCATAGTCTTGCATTATTATTAAGCAATTAACTGAATGATTTGAATGTTATTTCCAATATAATAAATGCAAAAAAAAAAAAAAAAAGAGAAGGCAATTTGTGGGACGGAGGAAGATGTTTGACTCAGTTGTATACGCTTTTTAAAGGTGCTTGTAGACATTTAAAGGAGGCCTGGTGGCACAGTGGTTAAGTGCTGCTAACCAAGAGGTTGGTGATTTGAATCTACCAGCCACTCCAAGGGAGAAAGATGTTTGTTAAGATTTACAGCAGTAGCAAACCTGTGGAGAAGTTCTAATCTGCCCTGTAAGTAGAACTGTGAGTTGGAATTGAATTGATAGCAATGAGTGTATGGACAATTGATGTACAGATGTTCAATCAACCAGTTCTCCCAGATCTGGAGAGAGTTTATGTGTTATCTGCAAGAACTCGATGTTTTGTCTTATTTACATAGTGTTTAATCTTTACAAATGTTTTTCACATCCATTATCCTCTGTTGAATTTGATTTCAATAAACATCCTAAAAAGTGGATAGTAGAGGATTATACAAACAAGGCTGAGAGTAGCTCCTAAAGCGATGTGTGTCTAATTGTCCAGATTGTTAACACAAGAAACCTGAGGTTCAGAGAAAGTGCTTCGCTAAACATATGTGAGAGAGTTGAGCCCAACCCTAGGTATTCTCACAATTTTGTTTTCCTATTTAATGAATCACTAAATGGTCATATGCTTAACTACTAGCTGAAAAGGAGTCTTGGTAGCATAGTGGATTATGAGCCGGGCTGCTAACTGCAAGGTCAGAAGTTGAAATCTATCAGTCACTCTGTGGTTAGAAAGATGAGGCTTTCAGCTCCCATAAAGATTTACAGCCTTGTAAAGTCTATACAGGGTCACTATGAGTTGGAATCGACCTAGTAGCACACAACCAACACCACTAACAGCTGAAAGATTTGCAGTTTGAACACAACCAGAGGTACCATGGAAGACAGCCTAGGTGATCTACTTCCAAAAGGTCACAGCTTTGAAAACCTTAGGAACAGAGTTCTACTTGACACATGTGTCAGAAGAGACTCCAAACAATTAACAAAAAGAGTTGTCATGGTTGATGCTGGTGGAGAAGTTATCATTTGGGATGATAGTATAAAGGAAGAGGGAAAGGACTACAAGAGGACTTTTGGGCAGCATACATGTTTAAAGAACAGTGAAAGAAGAGGAGTCTCTCCCCATCAAACTCAAGATCCTCCTGGATACGATTTTGTCATCCCTTTGCCTGAGAGGCTCAAGAAAGGTACATATTAACTGTAGATATCCACGATATCTGAGTCTAGTAACCGTGACAGCAAATAACACTCTTTCCCAACAGAGTCAGATAAAGTACCCAGAACATGATTACAGGGTAGCGCGTTTTTAGACTTTATTCAGAATGGCAGCTTCCTGAAGTGGGTCAGCATAAGAAGGGTTGAACTTAGTGTAGCTGGATGCAGGAAATGAACACATTTCTGTGGAAGTAAGTGAAGACAAGAAGCCTCGTGGTGACTTGAAGCAGAAGGTAGGCATGCTTGGGATGATTTTCCTGGCCAAACCAAGGGCTCTTGATAGGGAACCCAGAGTCCAGTTTGGGGGAAGGAGGAATGATATGCTAGGAGTGAGTCTCCTTTCTGAAGTACAGGGTCCCAAGGGCCCGTGGTTAAAGGCACAAAGAGATTAAGAAGTTAATTTCAGGGTCACCTTGCGGAGTGGTGGACCGGCAGTGTGCTAGGCAAGCGCTCATCTCCATCAGCAATTCAGGTCTCCCTCGCTTTTTTGATTGCTGGCACCGCTAGGTAAGCGGGTACCCTCAGCGTCTCCTTCTAAACTGGATCCTCTCCACACCACTCTCCCTTTTCTGCCATCTGCTCTCCCGAGAGGACTGAGGATATGCCTTGCCCGAGTTCTCACAGCCGGCATTGCTCAACCGCCTGAGAGACAGCCGCCAGCGCTCGCCCGTCCTGGCGGGGTTGCCCAGTCACCCCAAGCCACAGCCGAAACCCCGTGCGGAGGGCGCAGCCTAACGGTCCAGCCGCACCCGGCTCCTCGCGCCCCGCCCGGCGGCGCTGCTGCCCGCCCGCCCCCTGCGTAATGACGCCGGCGCTCAACGCGGAAGCCGCTCGCGGCGAGCCTGGTCCAGCCCCGGGCTGAGCTCGGAGCCTCCGCGGCACGGGGATCCGGGCCGAGCGCGAGCCGAGCGCAACCTCCCGCCCAGCCGGGCCGAGCGGGCGCTGCGGACGGAGCAGGCGGAGCGCACCGGCGGCGGCGGCGGGCAGAGCGGGGGACGGCGCGACTGGGACGCCACCGGGGGGGATGCAGCTGCCTCCCCGGGCCAGTGTGTAGAGAGGGCGGGTCCCCGGCCTCGGGATCGCGGCGGTGGAGGGAAAGAGGCGGCGGCCATGGCGACCCCCGGCAACCTGGGGTCCTCCATCCTTGCTAGCAAGACCAAAACCAAGAAGAAGCACTTCGTAGCACAGAAAGTGAAGCTTTTTCGGGCCAGCGACCCGCTGCTCAGCGTCCTGATGTGGGGAGTCAACCACTCGGTAAGGATTGGGGCTGCACCGCGCTATCCCCTTCCTCCTTTTCCTCCCGCTCCCCTCCTCCTACTACTGCAGCTGCTACCGGCGGGTGGGCAGCCCTAGCCAACCCGCGCGGGGGCCCCCGGCCTCCGGCTCACTCGCCCCTGGGCTGCTAACCCTTCGAGGCATCTCATTGCCCCAGCCCCACGACGCCCGCCCGCCCCCTCGGGTCGCCTAGGCGCATCTCGAGCCCCCTTTAAGCTGAGATCCGGGAGCGGTGCGAAAGGTCCTATCCTCATTGGAGCCCTGCGGCGGATGCCAGTGACACCCCGTCCGTCCGACCATCCGTCCCTCGGTGCCCGCAGCCCGAGAAGTGGGAAGTTTGCATCGAGCACATCTCCGCCTTTTGCTGTCTGTCCCAGCGAGGACTGCTGAGGGGCGAGTCCTGGCGATTGTACCCCGTGTGTCTGGGGGGGGGAGGGGTCGGAAGGAGCCGGTGGTCGAGTTGGCACTGCTGTTCCTATGCTAGCAGGTGTACTTGTCAGAGGCCGGGGGCTTTCGGAACCTCAGTCTGAGAACTGGGGTGAGAATAGATCAAGGGGACTGGGGCATCAGTTTAAGTGCTTAGGTCTTTTTCTTTTCTTTTCTATACTTCCCCTTTAAAGACAATATTGTTGGACACAAGGAGTCTTTTTGGCAAAGAAAAAGCCAATGTAAATATGGCAACTGGGTCTTTAGCATCTTTCTTAGCTCCTCTCCCCTATCTCCCTGCGCTTTGCGGGCCAAGAGCTGCTTGGCTGCGAGTCTTCCTCGCCACTCACCTCCTCCCCCACCTGGAGAACGGGCAGAAGTCGCAGACTGCGGAAGGGCGACTGGGGTTGGGTAGGGATGGCAGGAAGAGGAGGGGGTCTCCAGCACAACTGGAAGTGGTCTCGGAGTTGAATGCACCCGTTTGAGGTTTGCGAGGCAAATGCTTGGAAAGCTTAGCTTAAAACACAGCCAGAGTGGTGGAAGATGCACCGCTGCGGGCTATGCGGACTGCGGTTTGAGGGTCTGAAATAGCCTCCTGCTGATCTGACTGAGCTGCAGTTTTAATCTACTTAGATAGGATCAGGAAACATGATCCCAGCTGTTGGCTGAGCCATGAAAGTTTAAATGAGCCTGTGAATTTTGACCATGATCTTACCCACTGCAGTCGGTTAACATCTGAGGGAAAATGTAAGCCTTTTCCGTACTTTTGATGTGCATAGATATATGTAAGTCCTTCTCAACATATTGGTGCTTAACACTCTCAATTTAATGAAGTTGTTAAAAATGGCTTTAAAAGCATACATAGTATTTGTGGGTTTTACTTCCTTAACCCAGCTCGGGGAAAGGTGAAAAACTGTCAGAATCGATTATGTGTGCAGGAAGTGGCTGTTTTTCAAAGGTCCAAAACCAAACCCATTGCGGTCAAGCTTGTCGTTAGAGGACAGAGTAGAACTGCCCTATCGGGTTTCCAAGGTTATACATTTTTACGGAAGCAGACTGCCCGGTATCTTTACCCCTCAGAGGAGCGGCTGGCTGGAACCGCAGACCTTTAGATTAGTAGCGGAGCACTTTACCCACTTAGCCACCAGGGCTCCTGTGTAAAAGTACTACCAGAATTGATTGATTCAGTCATCTTAATGCCTAACTCACAGAAGTTCATTTCAATTTACTGACTGCTTCTTTATCTATCAGGGACTGTAAGTTGTTAAAATACTATGCCATACTGCACCAAAACACCTAACTTCTATTGGAGAAAATAAAAATGAACTTTCTCCCTATATTAGGAAGTCTACAATTTCGTTATGTCAACTTAATTATGTTGCCATAGTAGAGTTATGTCTAGTTTTGCTAGACTTAAAAAAAAATTATTTGTGCGGTTAGTTGTTTCTCTATTATTAGATTAGAGTCTGTAGAAGTTTAAAAAATTCTAATTCCATGCCTTCTAAACTGTGTACTCACATTTGTGGATACTTTTATCTTGTTGGTCTTCTGATATTCTGATAAGAGAGATTTTTGGTCTTAAGATTTAATATATTAACATAGTGTCCCAGTACACTGCTGACTTAGCACACTGGGACTTCGGCTTAAGTCTAGTTTACTTTGTTGTTATTAAGTGCTTTTGAGTTGGTTCTGACTTGTGGTGACCCTGTTTAAGGTTTCCTAGGAGAGAATGGGATTTGAACCACCCATCTTGAAGTTAACAGTCCAGTGCTTATCCTACAGGGACACACCAAGACTCCAACTTTACTTTTTTGTTGTTGCCATTGAGTAGGTTCCAGTTGCGTGCTTATCCAAGTGTCACAGATTATAAATGTGCATGTTTTATTGTAACTACTTATGCTGCTTCTTTATCTTTATAAATTGCCACATGTTTTAGAATTTCTTAATAATTAATTTAAAATATTTTTTAAGTGTTGAAGACTTCTGAAAAACACCCATGATTTATAGCTAGTACATCTAATGCTATTTTCTTTTCCTTGCAACAAAAATTAGCAATTCTAAGTATCCTCACAAGAGGACTGAATTTTTCATAGTCTGTAATGTAAACATAATATCCACCATTTAACCAATACAGATTTGGCACAAAGCCTTGCTAAAAATAATCCTCATAATTTTGTTCAAGTATCTTTATATTGAGGACTCTGAAATGACATAAGAAAAGTTTATTTTACAGCCTTTTTTCCCCAAAATGTTAATTTGGTTTTTTAAAATGTATTATTTTTGAGAAAAGGATGCAAATGTTTAGAACGATGAAGTCTAAGTTACGCATTTCTAGTTGATTTCATTTTAGGAGACAAAGTCTGGTATTATATAGATGTTTTTATATGACTTATGTACCAAAGATAAAATATGAGACTACAGGATTCAGCCACTTTTACTGTGCACTAGACATCCTGGAAGTGTAGTGGGTTACACATTGGGCTTTTACCTGCAAGGTCAGCATTTCAACTCTACCAGCCCTTCCACGGGAGAAAGATGAGACTTTCTGCTCCTGTAAAGGAAATCCTATATAGGGTTGCTGTGAGTAGGAACCAATTAGATGGCACACAAACACCACCATTATATCAAAATCTATAGAATAGTAATAATTGCATTATATCAAGATCTATAGAATAGTAATAGTAGAGTGTTGTTGTTATTGTTAAGTGCCTTTGAGTCAGTTCCAACTCATAGCAACCCTTATAGGGTTTCCTAGGAGCAGTTGGTGGGTTTGAACCACCAACCTTGTGGTTTGTTGTTGTTGTTAAGTGCCGTTGAATCAGTTGTGATTCATAGCGACCTTGTGTAGCGTTTCCAAGAAGTGGCTGGTACGTTTGAACCGCCAACCTGGTTAGTAGTAGTTGTTAAGTGCTGTCGAGTTATTTCAACTCATAGCGATCCTGTGTAGGATTTAAACCTCCAGCCTGGTGGTTAGTGGTTCAGTGCTTATACTAAAGCACTACACTAATAGTAGTTGTTATTGTTGTTATTAAGTGCTGTTGAGTCGGTTCTGACCCATAGCGACTCTGAGTAGGGTTTCTGAGTCTGTGAATCTTTATGGGAGCAGAAAGCCTCATCTTTCTCCTGCGGAGCAGCTGTTAGTTTCAAACTGCTGACCTTGGGGTTTGCAGCCAGATTCTTAACCACTATGCTGCCAGAGCTCCTTACACTAACAGTAGTAGTATGTGTTAAAAGTTGTGTTACTTTTATAACCTAGTTATAATGGCAATACAAGTGCAGCAAATTTATGAGAATTTTAAAGGTCTTGACTATATGGGAAGGAACTGGGGGGGATGCATTTTAAAGAGTTGTGTGAAGTAGGAGTTCCTTTGATTGTAATTGGACTGCATTTCATTCAATTAAGTCAAAGTCTACTGGAATGAAATGTAAAAAAGTTTCAGTGAAGGTGGAAAAATTCAAGTCCATTGTGGTGATAATGAAAATCTTGATGTGGGCTCTGCTCAGTGACAGGTTAAGCCTGACATTATGTGGTTAATTTGATGGCTTAACTGCTTTCTAACTTAAAGTATCCATCAGAAAATGGATCGGTGCCAATTTTTATTTCAAGTATTTAAAGCAGAGGTTATAATTGAATACATAAAAGAGAAGACAACTTAAGAAGGCAGTTTTGCCTTGTTACATTTGGAATTAAATGAAAAATAATCAAGCAGCTGAGCTTCTTAAAATTATATTTTGATAGTTTGTGCAGCACATTGAATAATATAAAAGCTGAGACTTGTTTTTAATAGATGTTCCAAAAGACTTTTATGTGCAGTGAAATGTGAGCCTTTTAGGAAGTAGTATTTAAAAACCCACTTACATGTTCAAAGGCAGATACTCACTATCTATATAGAAAAAAATTTAAAAGGACATAAAACCTGTTTAAAACAAACATAATATTTAGAATTAGCCAAGTGTTGCTGTTAAGGCATTACGATTGCAAGCCATAGAAACTCGAATGAGCTGAGGCAGAAATTTAAAATAATGGAAAAGATATTGGGTATCCATCACATTGGAAGGAAGAATTGATAACCAAACCCTGAGAAGAACAGGAATAAGGCTGGCCAACTGGAAAAATCGGAATCAGGTGCTTAGACAATGTTAGGAATTTTCCGTTTGGATTCCTCCCCAGGACAGGAAGCTGCTGACTCCCCAATTTCATGTTTTGTAATTTTTGCTCCCAAACGAGACTCTCTGTCTTTGATTCAGTTATAGAAATCCCACAGAAGCAATATTACTAGTCCATCTTGGCTCAGTTGTGGCTTCCCACAAATAACAACAACAACAAAACAAAAAAACAGTTGACACTGAGTCATTTACAACTCATGGTGACCCATGTGTCAGAGTAAAACTATGCTCCCTAGGGTATTCAATGATTGATTTTTCAGAAGTAGATCACCAGACCTTTCTTCCAAAGTGCCTTTGGGTGGACTCAAACCTTCAACTTTTTGGCATGTTCGAATTGTTTACAACATGCAGGGACTCTTCCCCCTGACTAAGCATATATGAAACCA